GTTTAAATGCTCATACTATGCTGATTCAGGAGTTGATGCTACCTCCAGGTTGAAGCAGTTGGGGATGGAATTTACAGTTTGGGTCTTTAAACATGTGAGTTGATTGTAGTTTGGATTGATGGTTGTAATTACTTCTCATATGGGTATTCATCAATTAAGAATGCATCAAGAGGATAAATGTTTACCTATCAAGAAAAAAGAAACAAAAAAGAGGGAAGGGCTAGTGGTATATTGGTGCATAATAGTATGGTTGATTGTAACAGTCTCTTTCTCCAGAAGTTTCTATTTTGTTCACCATGTTTCAAAAGTTAATTCAACTATTTCCACTTTTCTTAATTGAAGCTAGGATTTTTTAAAGATTACATATATCTCTTACAGACCTGAAGCTGAACATGGTGGAAAGATCATTTCTATATTTATCCACCATTTCCAAGTGTGATTTCTATGTTATGTAAAAAGACGAAATGTGCGGAAAATTGTGTTTCTCGATGGAGGACAGATGAATTGATTTCCGTTTCATTTCACCATCCCAACTAGTGAATCAGTATATGATACTTTTTGGCATATCTCGTAGGCAATACTACAGTCCACAACTTGATCCACCCTTTTTTTTCGCGTGTGCAGGCAAAAATGGAACAATTGAAGCTTATGGGCCCTGTTATACTTACTGGAATTTTAAAAACGCTTGATAATTTCTCCTCGCAGGATTCAGGTAAGTTACTCTATAGCTGTTCCAGACTTAAAGAGTCCCCTGCAGTGGCAAAAATATTTAGAATTACATGTTGATTCTCGTCCATATTGAGTATGTTTGAGTTGAGGCTATAAAAAGCAATGCAGCAATATGTATCATATTGTAGATTTCACTAAACCAGAGTTCGACAATTTACATTATGATGGTGAACAGCTTTAAGCCAACAAAAGTTATCAAATATTAGTAACGGTCATTCATTTGAAAGGCTTACTTACATGCCTGCTGCTATTAATGGGGCAAGGCCCACAATAATATAACTTTTTCCGCCCAAGCTAATAAATTAAGTACATTAGATATACAAGGTAAGTCAACAAGCAGCAAACAGCAGTGACCAGTCTCTAATTGATTATCATCATGACATGCCTCCAGATGCCATAGCTAGGGAGACTAGAAGCTTCTGTTTTCAAGCAATTGGGTTGCTTGCACAACGCATGCCACAACTCTTTAGGTAACTTTTTTCCAGATTCTTCACAGTACTGGCTAGTTTTTCTGCCTTGTTACTAGTGATGAGTGGTTCTATTCTCATCCTTAGGGCTAAAACTGATGTTGCTGTTCGACTCTTTGATGCACTGAAGCTTGAGGGGCAGCATCTCCGCCTTATTGTTCAAGAAGCGACAAATTCTCTTGCTGTTGCTTATAAGGTATTATACTAATATCTCCTTTTAATTCTATTTTTTTTGTCTGAGTCTTAAATTCTGGTTTGATGGTGACTTGCTTTGAGTCTCAGGATGCCCCCAAACAGGTGTTAAAGGATGTGGAGTTGATTCTCTTACAAAACTCTCAAGTGGTATGTGGAGCTATAGTCTCGTGGACAGCGTTACAGTGATTTACCACATTCTTTTGTTTTTTTTTACTGCTTTTTGATGTGGTTGATTATTTTGTCAAAATATTATAAGCATAACACTCTGCTCTTTATCTCTCAAGGAACAAAGTGAAGTACGCTTTTGTGCTTTGAGATGGGCAACTTCCTTGTTTGATATGAGACATTGTCCGAGCAGGTTTATCTGTATGCTTGGAGCAGCAGATTCAAAATTGGATATAAGGTAGCTATAACATGTTCTGCATTAGTGTGCAGGCACTCTATATTTGACATGCGAAGCACACAAATTGTATCCATTTCTTTTTTTTTTTTTCAATTATCAAGGGGTGTGTAACTGTGTAAATTAGGACCCAATCATAATTTGATTAATCATTATAATTCTGTTGTTAACTAAGTTTGAGTTAAATTATAAGGAATATTGTGATTGAAAATCTTTATCTTTAAATGTCTATGTCATGATGCTTTTTCAGCTCTCTGCAGAATATCTAGTATAGGATTCTGGATGTTGGACGAATGTTTTGAAACCTAGGTGATATCAGAATTATTGGAAGTTCTTCTACCATCTTTGTTGGCATGCTCTGACTTCCTAGTTCCCCGAATAGGCATATGGTGCAGGCTTAGACCCAAATGCGTCAAAGAGTTCTTAAAGAAAGTAGGCGCCCTGCAGCCTATCTAGAGATTGATGGAGCTACTGACATAGCACATCTGAATGTAGTTCATGTTGGCCATAGTCCCTAACCATCTTTTCCTCCACATGAATGCCAAGAAGCTAGCGACACATTGTCCAGATTATTTCAATTTTAGTTACACATTCTCTCCCTGTAGTATCTTTCTGACTGCCTAAAAACATCAAAAGAAAGACAGATGCTAATGATTTTTATACACTCTAGTTTATTTTATCAGCTTCTTGAGTCGGCAAAAATTGTTATTGCTGTTTGTTTTCAGATGAAGATTTAAGTGCTTTAAGTTATTTTCTTGAGGTAAATAGTTCTTTACTTGGCTTAGGGAGATGGCGTTGGAAGGTTTGTTTCCTGGTGAAGATCAGGGCAGGGCTCTGTCCCGAAGTTCTTCTCCCGAGTACCCTAAACTCTCAGAGATGCTGGCTTATATTCTAGAGAAGCAGCCTGCTATTCTTGATTTTGGTGGGATAGGAGATACAAATCTTCTTTTCCCGTCTAAGACTTATGTGGCTATGATCAAATTTTTGTTGAAGTCCTTTGAGACAGAAGTCGCACAAAATAACATCGCTGAGAACTCTGAGATTTTACACTCAGTTGAAAGGTTGTGTTTACTGTTGGAACATGGTATGGCATACGAAGGTTCTGTTGAGTTGCATGCATCAGCGTCCAAATCACTAATTACTTTGGGATCTCAATTTCCGCAGGTAGGTTTTAATGAAGTTCATGCTATAGAAATACATGTCACCATATTTTACCATATTTCTAATCATTTTCTTGAATTTGCATACCATTAATAGAAAAACTGTTCTGTGATTACTTTATCTGGGTGACAGATGATCGCCTCTCGCTATGCCCAAAAAGTTCTATGGATTAAACAGTATCTGACTCATTTGGACTCTGATACACGCGAAGCTATGTCACGTTTACTTGGAATTGCTTCCTCAGCCCTTCCCATATCCTCTTCATCTGAACTTATTGGTGAAATAATTTCTTCAATTAGTGGAATGACAAAATTGAGGTTCTGTTATTGCCTTGCACTTACATTGGTAGCTTTATTTTTCAGTAATCATTGGCTTGGCTGATCTTTTCCCACAATGCAGATTTGAAGCACAACATGGGCTGCTATGTGTTTTAGGATATGTTACAGCAAATTGTGTGATGAATACTCCTCCTGTAAGTAATATTTTCTCTTCGTGTTTATGACATATTTTCCTAGAAGATGGCATTTTTAAAGACATGAATCCAGCAGAGGTTAAGATCAGAACATGCAAAACTCCTTCAATGAGGGGAATATCCGAGAAAAGCTCATGCAATAGATTGTGCAGTTAGCTTGGTTCATTCTTGCCGAGGAGGATGTACATATAAACCATATAAAATGTGGTATTGTTTTTGGGATGTTTAAACCTGGGAAGTCTATAATTGTAAATCTAAAACTACATGGAGAATTGTTTGACGTTGCATTTGCTATGTAGGATACTATACGTAGTTTCCTGAGTATGGTTACCTTTTTCACTTACGGAATTTCTGCATTTGTTCTTTTCATGGGGAGAAGTTGTTGATTTTTTATCCATTTCTGTTTTCACCAGATATCACAGTCCGTGCTTCAAAGTGTTTTGCAATGTTTGATTGCCGTCATTAATAAAGAATCAGCCACATTAGCCTCCGTGGGAATGCAAGCCCTGGGTCATATTGGAATCTGCATTCCACTGCCTCCACTGCTTGTTGATTCTACTGCAGGTGAAATGATATGTCTTGATTGATTATACAAGATTGTTATTTCTTTTGTTTGCTACTGACGGTGTACGCTTGTCTAAAAATGTAACGAGAATACCATTCTTCTTATTTTAACCTGTAGTAGCCACTTGTACCCTCTTACATGAGAGATTGAGCAAGCTGCTCTCTGGTGATGATATCAAAGCAGTCCAAAAAACTGTTATCGCATTGGGACACATGTGTGTTAAAGAATCATCTGTTTCACATCTAAATGTTGCTCTTGATTTGATTTTCAGCCTTTGCCGTTCAAAGGTGAGTGAAATTGCTTTGACATTTCATACAGATTCTTATTGTCATTGTTTTACTATATCCCCTTCCAAGCTTTCCATTCAGTTTTAGGCCATACAGCTGACTGGAAAATTTTGGACAGGTTGAGGACATCTTATTTGCAGCTGGGGAGGCTCTTTCATTTTTATGGGGAGGTGTTCCTGTCACTGCTGATTTGATACTAAGAACTAATTATTCTTCTCTGTCTATGAGTTCCAACTTTTTAATGGGAGACACGTCCTCATCTTTACCTAGGCTACCGTCAATTGGCCAAAATGTTGAAGATTATCATGTTACAGTTAGAGATGCTATTACCAGGAAACTATTTGATGCCCTATTGTACAGTACAAGAAAAGAGGAGCGTTGTGCTGGGACTGTCTGGTTACTCTCACTTACAATATATTGTGGCCACCATGCAAGCATCCAGAAATTGCTTCCAGACATCCAGGTTTGTGGTATACAGTTATGTGTGGGGTGTGTGTATGATTCCATATTTGTGCAAAACATTCAAATGTCTCAATGCAAATCAAGGATTGTAAGAAATGCATCTGAAATGCTTTAATTGAAGTCTAAGCATTTTTTACAAAACGATTTGAGTAACAAATTTCTGTATAAACTTTCGCTCTATACAGTCATACAGTCTCATTTTTGCTTAGTTTGTTCTTTCTGATGCCTATATTGGATGTGTGTTGTGTTCTATTTCAGTTTACATATTTAAGATCCTCACCAATGTTAGTAATGTTGTCTATGTCTGGAGGTGGTGAGCTTGCTCCCACTGCTTGGCTGTCTTGTTGCGTGCGGACTGCTTCTCATGGACTTTGTTTGCGATTCTTGTATATTCTGACTTCTCAGTTAGTGTGTAGTTGCACTTTCCTGAAATGACACAATCTTGGGGTTTTGATGTATTTGTTTTCTTACAGTATTAAAGTTTAACCCCAACGATTAAACTTCCCATATGGACATTTTCATCATGTTGGGAAAAGAATCTGGCATTTTTGAGAATCTTTAATTACTTGAGATTTTCTTCAGATATGATCATTCATTTTTCCCCTTTTACTTTGAGGTTGATCAGAAATGTTTCAGGTTGAAGAAAATTTGGGTTGGAAGGGAAGATTAGAGGAAAGGATTTCAAACGATTCCATATAAGAAAGATTAAATCCTCTACAATGGTGAAAATTAGCTGATTATAGGACATTAGAAATCTGAAATAAATTGTGTGAGATCATCCGAACAATCTGAATGAATTTATTGTTGTACCTTGAAACCTTAGATAGAATTCCTTACATCCGTATGCAACCTAACTAGAAACATTTTATGTACTAAGATATAGGAAATGTTTGGTCATAAGCTGTAATTCTCAACTTATAGAGGCTTCATAACCCATTCTTTTGCCTGCTAAATTTAAAAATTATAAGAATGAACTTCCTTTGTGCTTAAAAGTTACCAAAAGTGGTATCCTGTGATACAGGAAGCGTTCTCACACCTCATTGGTGAACAAAATGAACTTACACAAGAGTTGGCATCTCAAGGCCTCAGTATTGTTTATGAACTTGGTGATGATGCTACAAAGAAAAGTTTGGTTAATGCACTTGTTGGTACTCTAACTGGATCTGGGAAGAGGAAAAGGGCAGTTAAGGTCAGAACTTACGGTTTTGGAAATCCTTCTGTTGTCATACTTTTTCTTCACATATAATTTTTTCTCTGTGCTCTTAATATGTTTCTTCTTGGATGATATATCAGCTGGTTGAGGATTCTGAAGTATTCCAAGAGGGTGCCTTTGGTGAAAGTCCTAGTGGAGGAAAACTGAGCACGTACAAGGAGCTCTGCAGTCTTGCTAATGAGATGGGGCAACCTGATTTAATTTACAAATTCATGGATTTAGCCAATTATCAGGCATCTCTAAATTCAAAAAGAGGTGCTGCTTTTGGTTTTTCTAAAATAGCCAAGCATGCAGGGGATGCTCTACAACCTTATATCCGTGCATTGGTTCCAAGACTTGTTCGCTATCAATATGATCCTGATAAAAATGTGCAGGTAAGGTCTCTCGGTACTCTGCATAGAGCCTAACGGCAATTCAAGTTGCTGACATTATCTGATCTCTATTTTGACTTCAAAAGCTTTTTCCTACAAATTCCTCTTGGCCTGTGAATCTAGAGCCTTGGATTGTTTGTCTTCTTTTTCTTCTTTTCTCTGCGTGTGTGGGCCACATGAGATCCTTTGCACTACGTTATTTGATTTTCCTCTGATTGTTTTCAATTTGATTTTGACATTGCTTCAGGATGCAATGGCGCACATTTGGAAATCATTGATAGCAGATTCAAAGAAGACCATTGATGAACATTTGGACCTCATTTTTGATGATCTCTTGGTACAATGTGGATCTAGGCTTTGGCGCTCCAGAGAGGCGTCATGCCTTGCCCTTGCCGATATACTTCAAGGACGCAAATTTGGCCAGGTTAAAAGGAATATAAAGAATTATACTAGACACTTGAAGAGGGCGATGATTATGGTTTCCACATCAAAGTTCTGACTAAATTATAAAACATAAATCTATAGAAATTAGAAACTTAAACTGACAATTGTCTACTTGTACCATTATATGGTATGGAAGAAATCTCATACCATGACACGTGTCTGATGAAAATTAATACAAAGATGTTTTTTAGATAATTATATTATGTCCATAAAAGAGCGTTTAGTAATTTACTAATTTTCCCTGTCCTTGCTTTACAATGTAATGGATGTTGCAAGGTACTGGAATTACCTAGCCCTCTGACCACAATTCTAGTTACATAAATTTATTGATATATTCGAATGATAGCTTCATTGAAGTTTCTATTGCTACACATATGGTGGCCATAACCTTTTCAAAGTACACATATTACTTTTAGCGGGCTTGAAGTTTCCCACGGTATAAGGGTCACGGAGTGCCTGGTCGCTTAAGGACTGTTATTTGCTATCTTGTCATAGGTGGAGAAGCATTTGAAAAGAATATGGGTAGCTGCTTTTCGGGCAATGGATGACATAAAGGAAACTGTCAGAAATGCTGGTGATAGGTTATGCCGTGCTGTGGTTTCATTAAGTGGGAGGTTGTGTGACGTCTCTCTTACCCCAGTTGCAGAGGCAAGACAAACAATGGCTATACTTTTGCCTTTGCTGCTAACAGAAGGCATAATGAGTAGAGTTGATAATATTCGCAAGACATCCATTGGTATGGTTACGAAGCTTGCTAAGGTAAAATCGTTTCAATTAGGATGAAATTTTAGTTTTTTTAATACAATCTATAAAATTACGTTCTGTTAATTTTGTTAATGACATCTCTTCAGTTTAGGCATGTATCGTGAGACTTGTACCATATAAAGTGCTTTTAGCTAAATTTTCAATTTCCAATTATATGAGGCTTGTAATCTTTTGTTTTATAAGTATCATTTCACTGTACCAAATGCGTAATGGGAAGCAGGCCACTTTACAATGATCTCGCCAATTCCCTCACCTCTATGTTGTTTCCTTCTGCTATCTGACCTCTTATATCGTAGAAAAGTGATTTCCTTTCAAATACCGATACTTGATTATTTTCTGTACGGTTTTTATACTTTTGTTTTGTTGACGTTCTTTATACAAATTAACATAAACTTAGATATATTTTTTCACTATCAAGCTATCCTTCAAACTCCAAATTGTATAGATATATCATTATATTCTTTTGGTAATTATAAGCAAAACATGGGGCAGATAAAATTTTCACCTTATTTTTCCTTACCCCTCACTAGTTTGATGTTTCTCAACCATATTTACAGGGTGCAGGAATTGCAATTCGTCCATACTTAGATGATCTAGTGTGTTGTATGTTGGAAAGCCTGTCAAGCCTTGAAGACCAAGGAATGAATTATGTTGAGGTTTAAATGATCTTACTATTATCAGACACTTATTTCAACTTCTCTGTGGTCCTTGTGCGTGTGTGTGTGTGTGTGTGTGTGTTTGTTAGCTAGTTTTGTCTATTCTCAAATTTTCACTGATTCAGCGCATTCATGTTTAGGAGGTCACTGAATTGTGGGAATTACTGTTCTCTATTTTTCTTCCCTAACAATGTGACTATTGTTTGTTTCTATCTACTAGTTGCATGCGCAAAATGTTGGGATACAGACTGAAAAACTTGAGAACTTGAGAATTTCAATTGCCAAAGGATCTCCAATGTGGGAAACTCTTGAATTCTGCATAGATGTTATTGACTCCCAAACACTAGAAAAATTAGTGCCTCGTCTTGCTCAGCTGATCCGATCTGGCATTGGTTTGAACACCAGGTGTGTGTCATATAGATTATTAATGGGCGGAGTTTCTATTTTTTCATGTCTTAGATGTTTTCTTTCTAGTCATTATTTTTATAAAATACCATAATTATACTTCTGGTCATTATTTTCATAAATCTCATAATTATAACCACTAACTTGGAAATACGGTTACGTGTGGAAAGAACAAAGTAGCCTGAATTCGCTGGATATCAGTCTAATAAAATAAAGTTAGGATAAAAGTCAGTTTGTCATTTCCTTCTGAGTTAAATGATGTTGTGTCCAATATGTTCATTATTTTCTCATTGTTAATTTGTACAATCATTATATACCATTCTGCAGGGTTGGTGTAGCAAACTTTATCAGTTTGCTTGTTCAGAAAGTTGGTGCTGACACCAAGCCATTCACAAATATGCTATTAAGGCTTTTACTTCAGGTTGTGAAGGATGAGAAAAGTGCTTCATCCAAGCGTGCCTTTGCGAACGCATGTGCAATGGTTTTGAAGTATGCAGCTCCATCACAGGCCCAGAAATTGATAGAAGATACTGCAAATCTGCATTCTGGAGATAAGAATGATCAGATTACATGTGCCATCCTATTGAAAAGCTATGCTTCCACCGCGGCAGATACATTAAATGGATATCATGCCATTATAGTCCCTGTTGTTTTTGTTTCAAGGTTCAATGCAGCTTTTAGTTAATTGCCATTACTATGATAGCCCCACTTATTTTTCCTGTTAGAAATAATTGTTTCATTACTATGTTTTCTTTCTCTACATTTATACTTTTCCTTGACGTCCATGTTTTATTTGAGTGCTATGAGAAAAGCATCTGCACAGTAGGCCCAGAATTCCTTGGAAATTACTATATTTCTATAATTTAGTTATATCGTTAATTCTTCTCAATTGATTACCTGAATCAGGTTTCTCTTTGCAATCATTTCTGTGGGAACTAAATGCTATAATGTACCTGCTCCTCTCTTATTATGATTCTAGTTATCCTAAATTTGAGGTGAAGTTGCAAGATTGATATTGCTCTGAAATAACATCAGTCAACTCATATCAACTCGGCCTTCATGGATCATCTGCATGGGTTCATATTGTAGCTGCACACAGCAGAGTAAATACTTGCATGTATACACATACAAGTGTTTGAGTGACTGTGGTGTAGCCAGCTCATTAGACTGCTCCTAGCAGGATCATAAAAGATTCTCCCTTGGGTCTATTTTACTCCACACATGGTTTGTGTGTGAGGAGTGGGTTAGATTGAAGAGATTGGAGGTCTAGTCGATTTAAATATTTTATGAGAGGAATTCATCCCACTTGTTTAGTTAACTTTGTGCCATTTGTATTTATATTTCATTCACCTGCTTCCATCTATGCTTTAGGTAGGTCTAATATATTTTAATGTTCTGCAGATTTGAGGATGATAAGACAATATCTAGTCTTTATTTGGAATTATGGGAGGAAAACATGAGCAGTGAACGAATAACTCTTCAACTATACTTGGGAGAAGTTGTTGTTCTTATCAATGAAGGGCTCTTGTCATCCTCATGGGCAAGTAAAAAGAAGGCATGTTTTTTTTGTCTTCTGTATTTCTTGGGCCTCCTTCTTTTTCTCCTTATTTTTTCTCTTTACGGGACATGTAGAAGTTGTCCTGTGCTGCTGTACCATTTCTTCTATTGATACCTCAGTTACATATATGCTTTTCTGCTATGTGCAGGCATCGCAGGCAATATGCAAGCTGAGTGAAGTGCTTGGGGAATCACTATCTTCACATCATAATGTTTTGCTCACTTCTCTTATTAAGGAAGTTCCGGGGCGTTTGTGGGAGGTTAGACTATTTTTTTGAAACAGTGCTTATTCAGTCTCATCCAAATAAATAAATTATGTCTTGGCCAACCTATTTCATGAGCACATTTGAGGATCTTTAGAAATATTAGTAGTAGTATTGTCAGAAGTTAGGTTTTGTACCACATCGAGTTGTCACGGGGCTGTTGTGTGTAAGTGTGGGTTCGGCCACCCTCTTCCTTTGGATGAGTTCTGCCCAAGCCTATTTATAGGTTTGTTTAGACCCAGCCCAGATGTTGGGTTTTGGACCCATCCCATTTGGTTTGGCATGCAATGGGTGAGAGGCAGGTTTTAGAAGTTCTTTGTCCACATCGATTTGTTATTTGGGCTGTTATTGTCTATAAGTATGGGTTGAGAACCCTCTTATCTTTGAGCTAGCTTTTGGGGATGAGTTCTACCCAAGCCCATTTATCAAGTATCTTCAAATTGTGAACTAGTAATTTCCTTTCATGTTGTGCGTCAGACAGCACCCTTAAGTATAATAAAAATATAAATTTATTTATACATTTTCACAAGCATATGAGTAGATGATTATGCTTGCAACTGGAAAATGCTAATCTATAATTCTCTTAAAAGAATGGAGAGAGTTGTTTCTTGAAAAAATTGGATTGTCAAAGATGTCCGTAACTATAATTAATTTCTAAAGTCACTAATGTGATATTATCCTAATGTTAGGGAATTACGATTATTAACCTTTAGTTTTCAATAAAATTTTGTTCTTCAATAAAATTAAATTGAAAAATAGTAGCATCAAGTATGTTTAGAAATGATAGAAGTCAAAATATGATCATCCTCCTGTGTAACTAATATCAATCAATCTACAAGCCGTTAAAATTCCACTAAGTGGGGTCGGCTATACGGATCACATGTCGTTGCCATCGTGCTCGATCAAAGCACATATCCTTATTCAAATTGAAATATTTTAAATCATTTTTTATTGTTTCTTTATAATTTTTTCTTCGGTCTACCCCTCTCCCTTTTAATTTGCGTTCTTAATTCTAATGTTTCTACACTTCTCACCGGTGCCTCGAAGTCTCTCCTACGCACATGCCCAGATAATCTTAATCGTGATTCTCTCATTTTCTCCTCTTCGGGTGCTACCCCAACTTTATTTCTAATATTTTCATTTATAATCTTATCTAACCTAGTATGCCTACACATCCATCTCATCATTCTCATTTCTGTCACTCGCATTTTTTTATCGTTTTCATATTTAATAGCCCAACACTCGGATCTATAAAGCATAGTTGGTCGAATGGCTGTTCGATAGAACTTGCATTTCAAACTCACTGAAATCACAAAATATCGACGCGCTCCTCCACTTGTTCCAACCTGATTGAATTTTACGTGTTACATCCTTATTTACGTTATCATTATCTTCTAGAATGGATCATAAATATTTAAAACTTTTAGATTTGTTCAATTCGTGTTACCCAATTTTAACTTTTACCCCATTATTAGTCCTTTGATTACTAAAGTTACACTCCATATATTCCGTTTTGGTCCTACTTATTTTGAAACCCTTTGTTTCAAGCGCATCTCTCCAAGTCTCTAACTTAGCATTTACCCCCTCTCTCTTCTCATCTACTAACACTATGTCATCCACAAACAACATTTTAATTTAAAATATTTAATTACGTGGTAAATAAATGTATAATCCAACAATGTAAATAGGTTACATAATTTTTAAATTATTATAAAAAATATTTTGGTCATATTATTTAACTTATCTCATAATATTAAGTTAATTAGTTAATAAATATTCTTTGTGGTTGATAAGGTTGTTTTTGCTTTTATTCTCTTTTTGAGATAATTAAAATTTGAATAATATAATTTAAGTTCACATTTCAATAATACACATAGTATAAATATTTTTCCGTACCATTATGTTTTGGATTTATATATCATTCATTTTAATTTTAGTACGAATAAAAAAGTAAAATTATAATAAAGTAAAATAAAATAAAAAGTATGCGATGAAATAATAAATTTATTATATACATCTAATTATAACACAATGCTTATCATTAGAATCATTTAAATGAAAATTATGAATATGCTTGCTTTACATTCAATTCGATGTCATAGTCAGTGTTATTTGTAAGATGAAACATGACTCATGTCATATTATTCAAAAATGTTTCACTTCTTTGAAAGCCAAAATAATAATAAAAGAAAATGTAACCATTATTAACAAAATTATACTACCTTAGGTCAATGCAAATTGAGAAAGCTTAAGATATTAAATTGATAAAAATTGTATCAACATGGTGCATCATCCCTTTCGCCAATGAGCTCATGTAAGATCTAAAATTATTGTTCGGACCAATGCGTGTTATAATGTCAAGATAAAAATATTACATAAATGAACCATTGATTTATAATTCATTGAACTCTTTTTTAATGTTTAAGATAGTTTGAATTTCCATATAAAAAAAGTAGTGCATATGTAATAATGTTCGATAAACACATTGGTTGTTTATATTTTGTTATATATATATATATATTAAATATCTTTAATTATGTTATGGTTTACTAATATTTTTCAAATAATTTTTTCTACGTATTAAGGTTGAGCTTGCAAGCATACCTCATATGTTATCGACCAAAATTAAGTACAATAGTTGAAAACTATTGCAAGAGAAAATATCCAAAACGTTAGTTTGCTTTGAATTAAGATACATTCAATATATAATAGCATAAAAATACATTTATACCATGTGTATTATTAAAAATGAACTTAAATATTATTATTCAGAATTTTTTTTCTTATTAAGCTAGAAATAGAAACAATATTTCTATTAATAGAATATATATTTTTTACTCAAGAGAAAATGTTAAAATAAAATTTTACATTTGTGTTTATAATGCATGATTATTTTTGTCTTAAATCATCCACACAGATATATCAAAGATAAGAATAAAAGAAAACATAGATATTGATTAGCATTGAATTAGCAGTTAAATCTAATCGCTACAAACAAAAGTGACTAAAGGAATATATAACAAGAGTACATCAATATAGATAACAATGATCATGATTTTAAAGACAACAAACAAACAAATGATAGATAAATGAGACTCTGTTAGCAATCAACAATTATTGAAAAATGGATTGATTTCATTTTTGGATTTTATCACAAATTTATTTATTTACTGTTATTTTAATAATAGCTTTTAATTAATACCATTAAAGATTATGTTTCAGTGCCAATATATTTATATAATTTATTATATATGTTTCCTCTTTTATTAAACCAATGAAAAATTTTGAATTTAAGTGTAAATTCAATAAAAATATAACTTTTAAATCATAAAAAAAATTAATGATCACGTGGGTCACACTTGCCACTTCCTAGTTTCTGCAAAAGAGGATGATAATTTCGCTGTTCTTTAAAGGGGTTTAATCTAAAGGGAGAATGAAATTAGAAACCGAATATGAAACATCTAGCAAGCCTTCCAAACTGAATACAGAAAGTATGTAATGTAGAAAGCTCCTTATTGAATTTTTTGTCCTGCTAGCCATGGATTCAAACTAGCAAACGGATGTTGATAAGCACCATGAGGACTTAATGATGTTCATTCTAAAATGAAAATCAACTCTAGGTTATCCTTGACCGCAATACCCATGAATGGTGGTAGTGGGCTTAACCTTAAGTGTTTGAGAGAGAGATGGTGTAGTGACTTTCTTAAGTAGGACGATGGATGATTGTTGCATAGAGTGCTCCATGTGGAAACCTTTTGGATGCATGAGTCTATGCTATAAGGAAACTTTGGTATTTGTTTGATGGGATACTTAGAAAGTCCACAATATGTACAATTGCATGGCAAGGCTTGTAAGTCAGATGTTGTATGGAAAACTGATGCGAGGCTTGGATACTTTTGTTCTTGATATGTGCATGCTTAAACATGTAATTGTTCTTGAGGGATTTCCACATGAACCACACAATTTAACTTTGGTTTACTATAGAGAAAGGGGCAGGGTACAGATGTTTAACCTCAATTATTCTCTTATTGCAAGTGATAGCTTCTCTCTGCTAGTTCTCATCTGATTTTTCCGGATTTCAAGTATTCTTCACTGGTTTTTTGTTACAGCTACAAGTTAGTTGCTTGAAAAATGACAAAATTAGAACAGTTGTATCATGGATTCATTGAATGCTACATTACACGACAGGGAAAGGATGCAGTATTAAATGCATTGTCTAGTCTTTGTACCTCGTGCCACGAAGCTATTTCTGCTTCCAATCCTGATGCTCCAAATGCTATACTGAACCTTGTATCATCAGCATGCACAAAAAAGGCACAAAAATATCGTGAAGCAGCTTTTTGCTGCCTTGAACAGGTACTAAATACTGTCATACGTTCCTACTACTTTTTGCCATCCTGATTATCTATTCTTTGGCTTGGAATTGTTCTATATTCATCTATCTATCTTAAATAAACGGACAATTATGTAAACCCAATTTGTGAAGTGTTCTGTCAAAATCTTGAAAGTATGACTAAGAGATTATAGCTGTGCTTGCCTCTATCAACTCAGATTTTTATCCATTGTAAGTTTTACATTCAGCGTTGTCTTCCAAATAAATAAATGAATAAGATTTGTTCTATTTGGGACAATGTGTGTGTATAAATATCATACTTATTGTATTTGAAAAATATCTATCTGGATCCCCATATGTAGCAATACTAAAAAAAGCTTTATTGTTACACTTGAATCTCACACTCAAGCACTTGTTTGTTTTATTGAAAGATGTTTATCATTTATCTATGAAATAACATCATATAGTATATATGGAAGCATCAAACACTAAGTCCATGATACCTTCTCAGGTTTGTTCTCTAGTTTATGTTGAGTTTCAATTCTCTTTGTTTCTGTTTTAGGTTATCAAAGCATTCAACAGACCAGAATTCTTCAATATGATTTTTCCATCTCTATTGGAGATAGGCAAATCACTTGGTCCTATGAAATCCGTTCAAATATCTTTGATAAGTGATGTTAAAGCAGGTACAGACAAATCCTATGAGAATTGAGCATCAGGTTGATTATGTTAAGTTTTGAAATTAATGTTATATTGCTTCACCATCGTCTTTCTCAATCCTTTTACGTTGTGCTACTCTTGTACTATCTTCACCATCGACTGAAAGTAGTTTCCTGGGGCTGCTTTAGGTCTTCATGCTGGATAAACTCATGCTGCTCAAATATATTTTGTTATTAATATTATATTGCTGTTCAAATAACTAACTTCATATGCATATAACAGATGAGACTGCCATATGGAGACCTTGTCTTTTCCCTCTCATTAACTGCTGCTTAATTCTGGTAGCCATATCTTGATAATGTGCTTGAACATCATCTAAAAATAGTTGACTATCTACAGATGACATGCTATGTCTTCATTTCCATTATATTTGCATGATGTCAGGACTTCCATTGTCAGAGTATCATGTGCTCACATGTTCTCTGTTAAGGGATCAATACCCCATGAGATTCAATGAGATTTGTTATGGACTCAAGTGATAAAATGTGTCTCGTTCACGTTCCTAGTTTTAGTACTGACCAATTTATTTGAATATTCATAATCTAATTCGATTAATCAGGTAGCTGGTCTAAGCACAGGTTTCTTGTTGCAGATACTGACGAGCGTGACAGTGCTCCAGCTGCTTTGCATGATAAAGTATTAAGTTGCATTACTGCCTGCATCCAAGTGGCTGACATTGGTGATATTATTGAGCAACAGAAAAACTTCATTGATTTATATATATATTCTCTCTCTCCTAGTTTCCCATGGACAGGTGCTTTTACTTGATTTCCGTCTTACCACTTTCACTGCTTATTGATATTTTACTCATGATGTATGCTTTTCATGCCTTGGACAGTAAAATTGACGGCGTTTTCTTCCATAAAGGAGCTTATCTCAGAGTTGAAAAGTAGTATAAACAGTTCTCAGGATTGTTCTATGCAATCCAAAATCGGCACTTTTATTCACGAGGTAATAGCTTATCCATGGTTCTTCGGTTAAACTGTAGGACAAAATTCATGAGCTCTAATTAGGCAATTTTGTAAATTTTCAGTTATTTTACTCAGTGTCGCCTGAAGTGCTCAAAACTTTTCGTACAATACAAATCGGACAGGTAAGTTATTCGACAATATTTTTCCTAATTTTCTTCGTTTACCTTTAATTGACTTTTTTCATCCAACATTATCAATCAGCTCCTGCCTTGTATTCTCCTGTTTTTGCCCTATTTGACCAATTGGTCTAGTTTATAGTTCATATCTGTAACTTTTCAACCAAATATTCACCCGACATTTTTAAGGTATCATCTTTTCCTGTTTTCAGTTTTATATGGCGAGATAACAAAATGATCAAAATGTATTAAGAACAATAGAAGTTCAATCTGACGCCATATTTGTATTAAGAAGCGTAGAAGTTCAATCTGACGCCATATTTGTATTAAGAAGCGTAGAAGTTCAATCTGACGCCATATTTGTATTTTGATTCATCTTACTTTACATCATTCACTTTATGATCCTCTCTAAACCTAGAATACTGAAGTTATCATTTGCTGTCGTCTTTATCAGGTCCATATAGCGGCAGCTGAGTGCCTCCTGGAATTAACGAATCAATACAGTGCCATTCCACCAGTCAATTGGACGGAATTGGCATTTACTACTGAGCTTCTTGATCTGTGCCAAGTGGAAAAAAGTGAACAGGCTAAGTCTTTGTTGAAGAAATGCATCGACATTTTAGCAAAAGCTGAAGGAGAACGCAAGTAAAATCCCCGTCTAATTTGACAATAAGACCTGATAACATTTCCCAGAACCGTGTTGCCTCTAACACCAACTTGTGAAAGTTGCTCTTTCAATATGTATACAACCATCAGTGCCCTGATATATACAGATGAATAGCAATGGAAGAACTTGTTTTTACAGATAGACACTGTAAGGTTTAACTAGCTTTTGCCGTGTAGTAGTGAATTGTTATTATCTCTATGCTACGAGTTTCAGACAAAAATATTCGCGGAAGAATCAATATTCATATTCATCTCCTTCGAGAAAGTGGTTTTACCTACTTTTTTTTTTTCATTACTAAACTGGTCTCAGCAATAAGTATGGTTATTGAGCTGTAAATTGGTTTTACTGTATGGCTTGCAGTTATTTTACATAGGTTGATTAAAACGCAATGAGGTTACCTTGGTACACTATTAATGCATTTCGCAACTGTACAGGATGCAACTATTACTAATTCTCGCCTGTTTTGTATTTGTAGAGACAGGGATGATACAAATTCCACATTGTCGAAAAATGAATTAGCGTGCTGAAAATATGAATAATAGATCGCCAATTGATCGTAAGCTAGCTGTCCATCTCATGAAAATATTTTTTGAATTTGTCTCATTTCTACGGAAGAGAGAGCCATGAGAAAACAAAGGGATGTGAGCATTTGTTTCGCCTGAAATCAAATCATCAGGAAATGACTCCAGTAGGGATATTCCATGCCCAAAGCTAAAAATACACACCTGGAAGTCGGTTTTGCTATGGAACCATCGAATGGCTCGGCTTATGAAGTCATCCATAGTTATCCATAAATAGTGTATTGACACGTGTCCTGCAATAAATACACTTTGGACACGTGTCAATACATAAAGTTGTGAATGACTCCATAAATTTATTGTCATGAATAACCCACAATATAAAATGTACCAAAATCATTGACCACACACGGAGTTCAAATAACAATCCAAAACACAATCCCACGTTCACTAGGCAAAATCATAAAGAACCAACAAACACACAAATAAACGTACCAAAAGCACTAAACGCACACCAAGTTCCAACAATAATCCAAAATACAATCGCAGGTTCAAAAAACACGTGCATGCATATAATTAAATTAGATGTATTACTTTATACACATTTAGTTTTTACAATTATACTCATACAATAATAAACGTAAAAAATTTAAATAAATATGATAATATTTATATAAATATTATTTTATTTACTAAAACATGTATCTAGTATTTGCTAAATATTAAGTATGTTTGAAGAAAAAATTCAATTTGTAATCTAAGTCGTAGATTAAATTATAGTTTTTTGTATTTATTTGTGCTTTGTCCAAATAAGTATGTTATTTTACCAAAGAAAAAAATTAATACAATCTAAAATTATATTATAAATTTAATGATATTTATTAATATATATTTTGTCAAAATATATTATGCTCGTGGACCCCGCAAATTCGATAACGGTTTTCGTGGGGCCCTTCCCGAATCGAATGTGACCCACAAACTCTAATTCAGAGGAAGAC